TCTAAGAACCATGACCATACATCCCGATATAAGCAACAGATAATTCGGTGAAAATTTTACTGCATACAGGGTATTTATTAATTTTTTAAAGTTAATTTTCCCCAAAAAATTTAAATAAGAAATAGTAATGTTAGACAATATTTTACCTTTAAAAAAATCAACAAATACTTTAAGTTTTAACGTTTGGAAGTCTACTATTTTTAAAGAAGAAATTTTACAAATGAAGAACAACAATGTCCAGTCACTATAGTTCATTAACTGTAACTTAAGCAAAAATATATTGTATTTGCAAGCCAATATACTATATTTATAATATATAATCAAAGCAAAAATTTCCAAATGATAGCCAACCCTTAATAAATTTAAAGTGTATGTCACTTTAATATTTAGACAACGAAAATTTAATATAGTCAAGATGACGATTTTAAATTTCCCCGCCAGTTTTTTATATACATACGGGAAACTAAATAATGTTTGCTACCATTATTGAGTCCGATTTGGAGATATGGTAGCAAAAACTGTTTTCAATCTGTTAAAATCTTCAGCAGCCAACCTTGAATCATGTGGGGTTAATTTTGAACAATCTCAGAAACTTTCACTTTATAATTGTATTAAGTTAAGTATAATAAACACTTCATTTATAATTAGCATAATAAATTCATTTCACTTCATAGTTATGTCAAGTGTTGGCATAATCAACTGTTATCCACTTAAGAATTATATTTACTGTAATCATCACTTTTGCCACTTAATACAATCATTAGCCTCTCACATAACATTTAGTTTTTTGTAAAACCATAATAAAATACCTAAATATAATAATTCATTGTTCATTATAAATTATTTTTTATTTGAATCATTGTAACATTGTATTTTGGACACAAAGGTCAGCATAAATAAAATAAAAATCACAGGGGAGAGAGGATTTTTAAATAAAACATTCACACTAAATTTTTTTTTTTGAAGTTAAAGTTAAACTAGGCAATGCTTCTATAATGAAAATTAAAATATCATTTGATGATAACACTGATGTTAACAAAAAAAGAATGAAATTATAAATGGCAAAAATACTCTCTTAAAATCATTTTAAAACTAGATTCCAGACAAAAATAAATAGCATTGACGCAGGAATAATTTATATTAGAAATACTTGGTTAAAGAACATAATACATGTACGTCCTACATAAAAAGTTAATCAATTTGAAAAATTGTCAATTGCTTCGTACTTCTTACTTATATTATTAAGTTACTGTATACCGGGTATGTAATAAGTAGTTTCACAAGACTTTACATATACATATTATATTCAGGTATAGTCATAGTGTTTCTCAAATTAACTAACCAGAATAAAATACCTAAAACTAATATTTTTTTCAATTTGAATGTTAAAGTAAGAATCTACAGTACCAAAACATAAATTTCTTTTAATAAAATTTTAACACTGCAACCCCCAAATGCTTAAAATAATAAATACTTTTGTATAAAAGCAGTCAAGACATCCAGGCCTATGACCATATGAAGAAACTCTGTGCATTCTTCAATATTTCAAAATAAAATTTGAAAGACAAGGGATTTTAACCTTAAACAATGTTTATTATTAATTAAAATTCACCAGCACTTAAATTTAAATGGAAATTCTATAAAATATATCTTCAACGCTTGAATGTGTTAAGAAATTTCGCTTAACTCACTAAGTCAACTAAGTGGTGAAGATTAAATAAAAGTAGTCAAATTCTTGATGCTGATTATAAAAATCCCTTTCAATTTTTATTTCAAATGTTAATTATGGAAGTTTTAAAATTTAAACATTTCTGAAATTTCATTGGTCACCAATGACTACTTCAGCATTAGTTACATTCAAAGGAAAAAAAAAATTGGTAACAATAAATTCTATAATAATATAAATTTACAGAAGCAGATACATAAAAAAACTCACCAAAAAAATAAATAAAATATTTTTTCTTACCACACAGTAGTGTATACAGATATTAGAAAAAAAGAATGTTTTTAACACAGCCGCTCTGCCTCACTTTCCACCAGTGTTTCTTCCAGACAATTTCCCCCCCCCCCCCCCCGGGCCATTTTTCCCCGG